ATAAATATTGGGTCGTCCGGAAAGTCCGTGCGTATTTTCCGCACGGACTTTCCGGACAACCTTGGGTTATCCGGAAAGGTCCGTGCGGAAAATACGCACGAACTTTCCGGACGACCCAATATTTTAAAATATTTTTTTGTTAAAACATTTTTGTCCTAAAATATACTTTAATTAATTTTTGTTTCGTATTTCGGAGCAATCCATTAATCCTAATCTATTTAACTTTCTAATTCTAGAAAAAGCGTAAATGAATAGTTTTAGAACTCTGTTAAAATACTATTTAAAAGTTATTTCGATTTCGTTGCAAAGTTATTTAGATTAAAAAAAAAGTACTCTTTAAATCCGAAAAAAACTCGCAATTGTTGACATAAAAATAAATTCTTTTGAGACCCTTAGAAATATTTTTAGAATAGAAATGGAATAGAAAAATAATTCAGTTTGTAAACCGGGAATAGAAAAAGAATTCTTTTCTCTGCTATGAGGGAGTATAAAGTTTTAACTTTTTATTCTGCTGATTTACAATATTCTAGCGGTGTAATACTTGTTTTACATAACAGGACACACATATTATGAAATAGATTTTGATCGCAATAATTTCGATTTCCTTGCAAAATACAATAGAAATCTAGCAATAACTCAATCGGAATCTATTCAGAATAATTCCATAATATGTATCCTGAAATATTGAATTCTGAGATATTTACCAATCAAACTAATAATAACACAACTGAATAGTACTTGTACGAGCAAAACGAAACTTATTACATTGAATAAAAGTTCCGCAAGATCTATTAAATAACGATGTCTTAGTGTCAATATTGAAAAATATTTATTTATGTTTGTGCTTTTCACGCCATAGTTAGTAAACTCGATTTTTAGAAGTTCCAGTTGACCGCAAACGTGGAGAGTGATTGCGAAGAAGAGTGAATCATTACCTTTATAAATATATTTCAATGTTGCATTAAAATATTTTACATTGAAAATTTTTAATTATAATAAAAAGATTATTAAGAATTTTTGAAAAAATGATTTAAAAAAATATAAATGATATTACGTGTAGCAATTATAGGAAATACAATTACAATATGTGTTAAAAATAATGTCTATTAAAAAGTATTTGGAAGTTTAATGTATGCGTGTGTATATGTAATAAAAATAAAAGTGAAGTTTTAATTAGACATTATGTTTAGTATAAATATCAATAGTAAATAAAATTACTAAAATGAAAGTATAAACAGGAATTTTATTAATAAATTTTATAAAAAGTAAAATGTTTAAAATAAATTCGTATTCTATACAAAATAAATTCGTATTTGTATATAAATCTCTTTAGTATTAACAGTTAGCTTATTACCACAATTGCTGGTACCAGTAAGCAGGAGTATAAAATATTGCACCGAAGAGATTATGAAATATAAACTCGAAGGAATTTGTAAATCCCCTAAAAATGTTATTGGCACTGGTAATTTTGCCGCTTGATTTTTAATGGATACATTAACGTGGACATTCTCATCGCCTGTTATCATAGGTGCCAGCGTAAAAATTGATGAAGCGAAGTAAGTAAAAAATATAGTACTGTAGCAAATCATTCTTCCCATAAATGCGTGCTGCCGCATGATTGTGCGTTTCTCCTCGGTGTCAATTGTAGAATAATCGTTCATAGCAGAAGAGTAATTGCGAATCAGATTGTCAGCATATAAGCGGAATGACAATAGCTTTAGTACACAGAGAACATTGCAGGATATAAGCATTAGATCATCAAGTTTTACATATGCATCACTGCTACCGAAAATGATTTCGAGGAACAACATGATCATCATCACGGTCTACACAGATAGCAAGTACTGTTTATTATATAAAGCTTTATTATGATTTTTCGGTTCTACTACATTCACGCTGTACCGAACGCTTCAGTTGATCTGTCGAACTTGATATATTGAATATACTTGCAAATGACACAGAAATTTTATTGGAATACGTAATATAAAAATTGAAAACGTACCATACTGAAGCCGCACACGATAGAACGAACTAAAGAAAATGTGTTATATTTTTGCAATGGCCAGACGCCTAATGGTAGAGTTAAGAGTTTGAATGGAGTCATAGCGTAGGCCACATCGTCATTCCATGACATTATCTTAGTCATGTAGAGCTGCACGTTTCACGGTACTCAATAATATCGGTCCTAGTGTCTCTATAATATGAGTCGATCATCGGAAATGTTCGCTTTCACGTTCATATTTTATTGAAATTGCACAATTTAACATTTACTAAAGTACCTTGTTATTCAAAACGCGGTTATTTTAGAAAGAAATTATTCATATGGAAGTATATAGTGAAGCAAAGATCGAGGAGGTTCATTTTTCTTCCAGTACATCATATTGCATTGATCGTGCTATAATACCTTTTATTTCGATATTTTTTCATCAAAAACATATACGATTAATTCAGGATTTAATGCATTAGAGTAGTATTGTTATATGTTGTTAATAATAGTGTTGTGATATATTGTTAGTATCACTAAAATTATTTAAAGGAACTTCAATTTTGCTATTGATACTTTTAATGTAGTTTGAATTAAGAAATGTAATGTAATTACATTTTTATAATGTGGTTCTGTTTTATATTTGTTGTTATTTTCCTAGAGATATTTTTAAGCTTTAAATGATGATTAGCTATAGGAAAAGCAAGCAATATCTGGGTAAAAAAGTATTAATGTGCGCTGGTAATGTAACTCATAATGCTAGTATATTTACATCATCTCTTGCAAAAGGTTTTTATTTGTTCTTTGATAGATATCGAATTTGTGAAATAATTGCTTCCACGACTTTTTGTTAATAATTGATGTTATTATAATTGATATTTACCTATTTAACTCGAGGTTTGGCTCAAGAATTTGGATGCACCTTAACAAGTTGATATATTGACGTTATTCAAAAAAGTTTTTTGAATATGAGTAATAGAAGAGATAAAAAGCAGATAAATAATTTTTTGATATCTTTCAGTTTTTAATTTTTTAGCTGTGAACAATTAACCTATACATATGTGCGGCTTAAAAAAGTAATTGCACATTTACAAAGCGCGTACACACACACACCTATACGCAATTTATGAACAGGTCCTCATTTTAGCAAAAACATCTAATATAACATCTAATACATACATCTAATATATACATCTAATATAACTGTCATATAAGTAATTGTATTATATTAAAAACTTATATTAATAAATTATTATTTACACTATAATTAACTTGAATGTAATTTATTAATTGAATTAAAATATAAAAAAGTTACATACAAGAAACATAATAGCCACATTTTTTTTACTATTATTTAATCATAAATAATACATATACACATACATAATCCATTTATTTAATAATGAAAAATAATTAATTTTGGTTTGTTTCTGCAAGCAATCTGTTGTTGGATTATCTTAACAAAATTCTTTTAAGAAATATGATACTAATAAATGTGAACATAATTAATGAATGCCAATCTGTTGTGATATAATATTTTATCCGAAACTAATGGAAGATTGTTAGTTATATTAACATCCATTTATTTGATAGTTATTAAATTCTAAGCAACAATTATATTTCCGCAATTATGAATCACGCATCAGAGCAATTACTTCTATTGCATACTTCTTAAAATGTGTTAAAGTAATGTATAATACAGTGATTTATATAATAAAAAAATTATTTTTAACTTCAGTTTTACTATTCAATTTTATTATTCAAAATTCCTGACGTATCCTGTCTTATAATAATTTTTACAAAATGATATTCCTTATATATTATATATGTATGGTGTTATTTTTTCGTTGTGATTTACTCTCAATAGTTACCAACTCTCTATGAATCCACCATCACTCGCAGAACGGATAAATATGAGAGAGAACTTTTTAATATGGTCATATAAGTCTCGATAGTTACGATGAAAAATCTGCCAGCTAAGAGTTGAATAGGTTGCTGCGACCGCATAATGACGAACAAAACATTCCTCATTAATTTCAGTGGAAAGCAGTACCAATTACAGCTGTAGATAGACTGAGCGATATCTTCCATTTGACACTTTAGATAGTCGCCCACGAAACTATAAAAGAATAACTGTAATAACAGAGCGCCCATCACTGTTATGGTTTTAGTTATCATCACTACATCATGTGATTTCAATGCCAAAATAAATTGGAAACCTGAAAAATATGTAATACACAACATGCACAAATTAATTCTCTCTGACATTACTGAGATAGAAATTTTTCGAGGTTTACCTAATATTTCTCTTACGTTATTAAGATATATAGAATTAGATAATATTTCTCAGATAATTAATATAATTTTCGAACGATTTGCAAAAAAATTTACGATAAAACATTTTTTTTGACAAAATGATACGTTACATAACCGAAAAACTAACTAGTTTAAAATATTTACCGATTAAACAAATAATAAGACAACTAAACAGCATTTGCACAAGCAAAACGAAACTTATTACTTCGACGAGAAGTTCCGCATGCTCCATTAAATAATGATGTCTTGATGCCAATTTTGAAAAATCTTCAAATATGTTCTTGCTTTCCACGCCATAATTGACAAATTCCATTTTTAGGATTTCCATTTGCCCACAAAGATGTGTAGTGATAGCGAGGAAAAGTGAATCACTGCCTTCATAAATAAATGTCAATTTTTCATTAACATTTATATACATTGAAAGTTTTAAAAAGGTTCATAGTTAGAATCTGGTGCAAAACTGACATAAAAAAAAGAAAATGTTATAACATTACAACTATAAAACAGATACGACATGCATTAAAAGAGAATATCTAGTAAAAAGTAAAAAACAAAAATTAAATATATAATATCAATTAAATCAAATATTTTATTTAATTAAACATCAAGTTTAATTTGTATGCTTTTAGTTAATAAAAACGCTGAAAGCTAATAATTAAGCTAAAATTAAAAAATTAAAGTTTATCATCGAATTGTATTAAAAGCAAAACGTTTAAACAAATTCGCAAACTTTATTGATATTAACAATTAGCTAATTACCACAATTGCAATTGCTATTGAGCACCAATAGAAAATATTGCACTATAGATATCACGAAGAATAAATTCGCAGAGAGATGATAGCTTCCTAACGACCATGTTAAGGGTATGGGTAAATCTGATGCTTGATTTTTGATAGATGCATTAACTTGAATGTTTTCTCCATTGTCAACTATTATAGGCACTAAACAGAAAATTGTTGAAGCCAAATAAGCGAAAAATAAGATACTGTAGCTAATCATTCTTCCTATGAATGCGTGTTGTCGCATGATCGCATGCTTCTTATTGTTGTCGATCGCGAGATAATCATTTATAGCAGAAGTGAAATTGCGAATCATATTATTGGCATATATGCGGAATGACAATAGCTTCAGTACAGAGAGAACGTTGCAGAACATAAGCATAAGAGCATCGAGTTTTACATATGCATCGCTGCTACCGAAAATGATTTCGAGGAACAACATGATCATCATCCCGGTCTATACAGACAGAAAGAATGGACTGCTTACAACAAAGCTTTATTTCTGTTTCTCCCATTTTTACTATGCACTAAACATTTCACTTAAAATTGAACATAATATGTCGAACATACAATAATATATCAACATATGAGTTCCAGAGAAATTTTATTGAAATACGAAAATTGTAATATGAAAATTGATAACGTACCAAACTGGAGCCAGATATAATAGAACGAATTAAAGCAAATGTATTATATTTTTGCAAAGGCCAAACGCCTAATGGTAGAGTTAAGAGTTTGAAGGGAGTCATAGCGTATGCTATATCGTCATTCCATGTCATTATTGCAGTTAAGTAGAGCTGCGCGTTGCACAGTAACTTCATAATACCGGTCCTAGTGTCTCTATAATATGAGTCGATCATCGGAAATGTTCGCTTTCACGTTCATATTTTATTGGCGCATTTATTATAATACCTTATGATTTTCCAAAATACAGCTATTTTTAAAATTGAAGGAAACAATTTTTCTTTTATACGAAAGAGAGTAGAGTGGGATAAAAATCGAATTGAGAGAGGGTGATGCTTCAGTTTTCAGTATAATATTTGTCATCCTTCAGTATAACGTTGATCATCCTTCAATACTTTTATTTTGATATCATCTTTTTATGAAGGATACATATGATTAACTTAAAATTTAATGTGTCAGTTTTTTTTAGATAATATGAATAGTGTTGTTAATAAAATTATTCGCAGATATTTCATATTTTACTTTTGTTAAGTTCAACTTTGTTTGAATAGACGAATGCATTGGTTTTTACATAAAAACATCTAAAAAATTAATAACACGTAGAATAACATTTTAACTCTATTAAAACTCTACGTGTTATTAATTTTTGAGATGTCTTTATGTAAAAACTATGATAACTGATGAAAAAAACGATCGTGCCGTATCTATTATTTTGTAGCCGCTTAAAAGACTAATATTTTTTTATATAATAATGAAATAACTAATTCTGCTTTATTTCCATAAAGAATCTATTGTTGGATTGCAAAATTAGTTAAAGAAATACGAGATTAAATACGAATCAGTAGATTTCAATAACATCTATATTCTACTTTTTGTTGGAAAACTTATAAGTATAGTGTTAAGATTTTGTTTATTTGACAGTTATCAATTTGTAAGCAAAATCACAATTTCGTAGTCGCAAATCGCGCATTACTGCAGTTTTTTAAAATAATGTGTTACGAATAATATACAATACGTGTTAACATTCTGTTTACTTGATAGTTATCAAAGTATAAGCAAAATCATTTTTAATAATGTACAAATGTTTATTAATTGAAAACAATATTATTTACTGTAAATTGATTATTCCATTTTATTGTTTAATTTTAGACATATTTCCAAATATGGTATCTTATAGTAATTTTTTATTTTAAGAATATTAATATATTGGAGTGTATAAATATTGAACTATTTTTTCGAGTTTTCTTCTCAATAATTACTTGCATTTAATCATCCATCATTACTCGTAGGACAGACAGTAGTTTTAAGTCTGTATTTAAGTCTGTCTCAGAAATATGTGAGATCTATTGTACAGTTTTAACGCTGGATCCAAACAATTTATCACAAGAAATTGTCATAACAAAGATTCTCAATAGTTTACCATTGCCGTTTCAGAGATATCGATCAAATCAGCCAATCAGCCAATCAGAAGCGTCATTAATTACTATTGATGCTTTTAATTGGCTGTTGCGACTAGCGATGATGTGTTTGTAGCTTATATTGTAGACCACGCTTTTACGCTACAGTCGCCAAACATGATGATAATAAATACTATTATATATTGATATTATAAAGAAAAGAACTTTATTTACTTCAATTTTAGTATTCAATTTTATATCATAGTGTCCTAATAATTCTTTTATAGAAATGCTATTATTTATATGTGTGTACAGTGATTCCTCTTCAAGTTTTCTTCTCATTTGTTATCTGCACTTTAGTCATCTATCATCACTCGTAGGACAGACAAGTATGAGAAGGAACTTTTTAATATGGACATATAAGTTTCAATGGTTACGACGACAAATCTGCCCGCTAGCAGTTGAACAGGTTGCTGCGATCTCATTATGACAAATAAGACATTCCTCATTAATTTCAATGGAAAGTAGTACCAATTACAGCAGTAGATCGAGTGCGCGATATCTTCCATTTGACGTTTCAGATAATCGCCCACAAAACTATAAGAGAATAATTGTAACAATAGAGCGCTCAGCACTGATGTGGTTTTTGTTATTATCACTGCGTCATGTAATTTCAATGCCAAAATTAATTGGAAACCTGAAAAACACGTAATTAGATAATATGCACAAAGACGATTCTCTCTGACATTATTGATATAAGAATTTTGATAAAATCCGATTTGATTATATTATTTTATTATATAATTTTATTATATTATTAGAATATCACAAAATAAAATTATATAATATTTCTTAGATGTTTTCTATAATTTTAACATAGTAGCTTTTTTGCAAAAAAAAATTTTATTTTTCTAGATAGAACAGCTTTTATCCCGAAAAAGACGTAATAATGCTTGTATCACATAATAGGAGAATTTAAGATATTTACCGACCAAACAAATAATAAGACAACTGAACAGCAATTGCACGAGCAAAACGAAGCTTATTACATCTATCAGAAGTTCCGCATGCTCCATTAAATAACAATGTCTAGATGCCAATGCTTCAAACTCTTTCATGTCTTTATTTTCTCCATTATAATTGGTAAATTCGATTTTTAAAAGTTCCATTTGCCCGCAAATATGAAGAATAATTCCAAGAAGAAGTATATCATTGCCTTTATAAGTAAATTACAATTATAAATTAAAATATATTATAAACATAAAAGTTTTAATAAAAAACATTATCAGTTAGAATCTGAGTTAAAAAAATCTGATTTAATTAAAAAAATAATTTCTATTAAAAAATAAAAAATGTGTTTTGATATTTAATATCAATAAAAATAAATATTTTATATAATTAGGTATCAAATGATTTGTTAGTTGGCAAAACTAAAATAAAACTAAAAATCTAAATATAAAAATTAAAAACTTATTACTAAATTTTTTAGATGGCAACCACTCATAAAATAGGTGTACACATGAACTTCGGACTTCAAAATTTTATCGGACTTTATCGGATTTCGAGGAATTCAACGATCTTTTGACAGATTATATATCGGTATTTAAGAGTGGTTACCCCCTCGAAAATTTTATTAAAAGTAAAACATTTAAAGTAACTAATACGCAAATCTCTTAGATATTGACACACAGTTAATTACCAACATTGCCGGAGCAATTTAGTGTTAATAGAATGTATTGCACTATGAAAATCACATAGTATACATTTGTAGAGAGATGATAATTTCCTAATGTCCATGGTAAAGGCACAGGTAACTCCATTGCTAGATTTTTGACGGATATGTTAACTTGAATGTCCTCATTATTGTCTAACATTGAACTAATTATTACAGGTATCAGAAACAAAATTGGTGCCATATAACCGAAAAATGAAATACTGTAGCAAATCATCCTTCCCATGAATGCGTGCCGCCGCATGATCGTGTGCTTATTTATAGTATCGATCGCAATATAGTCGTTGACAGCAGAAAAGAAATTGCGAATTAGATTATCGGCATATATACGGAAGGATAACAATTTTAATATAGAGAGAATGTTGCAAAACATAAGCATAAGAGAATCGAGCTTTTCATATATACTGCCATTACCGAAATTGATTTCGAGGAACAATAAAACCATCATCACGATCTATGCAAACAAAAAGGATGGATCGTTTATTATCATATTAGAGTTTTATTTCTGTTTCTCGTTTTTACTATGTACTAAATATTACACTGTGCACCAAACTGGAATTGTCAAACTCGATAGGTCGAAAGTATAAGTTATTAAGAACATACCAAACTGACGACACATACGACAGTACGGATTAAAGCAAATATGTTATATTTTTGCAAAGGCCAAACGCCTAGTGGCCAAGTTAAGAATTTGCTGGGAGTCATAGCATATGCTACATCGTCCTTCCATGACATTATTGTAGTTAAGTAAGTAGAGCTGCACGTTGCACAGTAATACAGCCTTTATGCATAATACGAGTCAGTCAACGACATTTTCTTTCACATTCACATTTTATGTCCGGCGCAATTTTAATATTTACTGAAGTAGTTTGTTATTTTCCAAAACACAGTTATTTTGAAAACTGAAGAGAACAGTTTTCTATGTAGAAGTAGAGGGAGCTACGATCAAATCGAGGAAGGAGGATATTTCATTTTTTTTCCAGTGCATTATCTATCATTGGTCGTGCCACAATATATTTTATTCGGATACTATCTTTTTATCAAAAGATCATATGATTAGTTTAGAATTTAATGTGTTTGTTTCTTCCTAACACGAGCAGTGTTGTTAGTGTCACTAAAGGTATTTGAAAATATTTCATATTTTGCTATTAATATCTTTAATTTGATTGAATAAATGAATGTTTTGTGATTTTAAGAATTCTAATAATAACGATGTAAAGACTCTTAAATGTAAACGTAAATAATCAAACAAATACACGGCGAAAGAAGAGTCAGTAGATTACAAAGAGAAAAACAAAACATTTAATTAATTAAATTATTATGCGACGATACATGCGCACGGAACGGCATATATAAATGTGTAAATGTATAAACATGTGTAAAAATATAACAAGTTTCGGCTACAAGATTGAGCCCTCTTCAGATATAAAACGCAAAAGA